TACAAAGTGAATACAGAACATGGTGACAGTGTTTACACAAAAGGTATTTCGCGAGATGACGTTACTCGATTATTCACTCTATCGAGCGGCAAATTGATTTATCGTCAAACGATACTATGATTCGCACAAGAGAGGAAAAATTTACAAGGGATGCTTTACACAGGGAGCTGAATTAATATTCGTGACCGATCGTCACTATTCCGATAACGCGAGGATATAACGAGAATGTAATCGTTTCAAAGAAAAACGCGAGAGTAGACGGATCAGCAATACAAGTAGAGCGCGTATTACGCGCGACTAATAGCGGCGAGGTGCGAATAAAAGAACCGTGAGCTCTATTGTGTGCGAATCAATAATGAGTGTGTACGATTTTCGTAAATAAATCCGCAATTTATAGTGCTGATTGTCGCTTGAAATAATTAATTAAAAATAAAACGCAGAGAAAAATGGAAATAATGAAAAGCAATGGAAAGATTGGCAAGTTAATTATGAGTGTAAATTATATTCTCTAAAATAAGGCGACGTTGACGCGAGTATTTGTCTGGCGTTTCAATTATTTATATATAAAACGGAAACGAAAAGATTAATAGATAAAAATAAAATATAAAGAGCAAGCTTAAAAGCTGATAAGTAAATCAATTATCAAATATATTCGTTTTTTTAAATTAGTTTTTCTGAAACGATCAATACCGGTGTCCAGTTCAAGAATATCGAGAAGATAAAAATACGCTTCTTTTTGGTGACGATAGTGGCGTTCTTTTTTGATCGGGACACTCTTAAGTAATAATACGCCAAAATCGATGAACGTTACACACGATTTGAGAAATAGAATACGGAGACCTGGTCGAGCGATCGCGTTTGCATCCCAATATATCCAGCTTTTAATCAATCGAAACCATCTCCACTCCACGTCACACTCGGCAAGCAAATAATGGAGCACCGACATCAGTCAGCGGATACCGTTCGGATTTAAATCAAAATTTAATCGAAATCCCGCGTAAATGAAAGAAGAAACGTAGTTGGCGCGTAAAGTAATTAAAATTCCAAATCGCGAAGAAAATAGCTCAAAGGCTATTGTAGCCTGAGAAACCTTTCGTATAAATCTATTGTATTAGTTAAAGTGTTTTACGCTTTCTGCGCATAAAATAAAATAAGAGTGTGTTCACCTCTTTGAAGAGGTAAAGGCGCTGAGGACGGAATATAGAAAAGCGCAGAAAGTGTAACTAATAAGCTTAACGTTGCGCGGGGTGACGTCAAACACTCGAATATTGGGAGTTGCAAAATCTTTCGGAACCATCTAGCGCGCGCCGCAATGTAATAATGCAATTATTGCGTTACACGGAATTAAATCGCATCAAACGCTTTATCTGGAGCCGCAAAACTTCCTGGAAGCCCTTCGATCCGTCTGACGCGACTCAACACAACGATGTAACCGCGTAACTTACACGCCGCGCAGGATTAGCCGCAGGAAGTGTGGCAAATTCTCAAATTGCGCATCGTTCCGGGATCCTTTGAGTCCCCTGGTTTGATTCCGATATTTCCGACCATGCAGCTGTGTAATCGCGTAAACTTCGTGCAGGATTAATCGCAGGCAATGACGCAAATTCAAATTGCGCGTTTAGAGACGTACGGATTATTCCAGAGAGAATCCGTTTGAGCGTCGAATTTATCCAGTATTTCTCATCATTCGACGCAGCTATGTAATCATGTATCTTCGTACTTGGATTAACAATAGGCAGTGATGCGAAATTCCAACTGCGCAATTCGGATTATCGAACGTATGCGTTACTTCCCCGAAACTCTTCGCGAAGAATTCCGAGAATTTCGGACAATATGCGATTTCGATCGCGGCAAATATGCATCTGCAAACAACCGAGTAACATATATTTCGTAGAACCGGTTGCCGCAGTCTCTCGCTCGAGGACAAGTACATTCGCATAAATCTTCTTTCTCCATTTACATTGCAGGATAATAAGACCGCATTACCTAGAAAAGGATGGTCAATCTCTCGCTAAGGCGGGTGCCTCGACCACAGGGGATATTGAAAACCACGCGCGTATCCGGCGAGCGAGCGATCGCGGAGAGCGCATTCTCTCTTTCTCGCGCCCTGCGGGTTCTCGACCTCCCGGCCGATCGAATCGAACAAACTTACCCGCCTCGAGCAGATCCAGGTCCAGGTTGCCGCTGCGGCTGCGGCTAATGCTGCTGCTGCAGGCGTTGTAGCTGCTGGAGTGATGGTGGTGCGCGGCGGTCTCCTCCATCGCCCGGGAAGCGCTGCGCTTGAACTGCTCCAGGAAGCTGTCGATCTGGTTCTCGATGCTGGTGGGCGAGCTGGCCATGTTTTCCGCGCGACGTTTGCCAAACGATCGTCCAAGTGATTCGGTCACGCGATCAACACGCGCGATCTCGGCACGTGCGAGATCGATTTTGTCCGGCCCCGTCCGTCCGACCCGGACGACGACGGCGAAGAAGACGAAGTGAGAGTAAGAGAGAGAGAGAGAGAGAGAGAGAGAAGTTAGAGACAGATAGATAGACGGTTAGAACTACGCAGCGACGGGGCTACATCGTAGAATCGCCGTGAGCGCGCGCGTCTACGCACTTTTCTCGTCGCCGTGGAAGACCCGTCGATGTTCCCGGGGCGGGTTAACGGCGCGAAAGCTGCCCGGCCCCTAACGCACCTCGTCCCGCTGTACGCCGCATGTCTGCTGCCGTCGTCGCCGCCGCCGCCGCCGCCGCCGCTGCTGCTGATACTCCGCAATATTCCGCTTCGCCGCGGTGCGCGCGCCCCACTCTGATAACCGCCCGAACTGAAATGGCGCATCGCGCGCGCTTTGTTGCAATTCTTTCGCGGCAGATGACGCATACGTCGATATTAATATTAGGCTTCACTCAAGAAAACTTGTATAACTCGCGTAACGCATTTGTATGAAAGGTTGACCAATCATCTGTTGGATGTAAATGATATGAGACACATGATTGGGCGATTCCTCAAGCATATCAACCACATATTTATGAAAGTTTGTCTGAATATACCTTGATGAAATATATTCCAGCCTAACCCTTTCCGTGACCTCGGCAGGAGCAGATCGCAGGAATGTCGAACGGTAATCCTTGTTAGCGAATATTGTAGTAAGTGTTAGCGTAATATTGAAGATGAGAATGTAGAAATAATAATAAAAATAATAGTAATCGACAATGTATAGATTCTACATATAGATTATTCTTTATCATAATATGAATAATAAATTTTATTTCCAGTACTAAATTTGACTGCATCAAGTTTTCAGTTTTAAATAATAAATTCAACATTTAAAGGCCAGAAAAATGTCACTTTAAATTGACAATGTTAATTTTCCTTAAATATTGTAATGTAGAATTCATCAAATAATCATGAATTTTTTTGTTTTTCAGTAAAAGTAAGTAGAATAATTAATGCAATAATATATATCTCTCGAAATAAAGCTGATAAAAGTGACCACGTATATATATTATGCATCTATATTGTACATTCTGCCATCAAGCCATTAATTGCCGCTCATTAATTCATTACAACACACCGTCATAAGATCATCACAAGTTGTTGCGTCTTCTTCGGCTTTTGCGAATGTTTCTAGAACACAATAATTTTGTTACTTTCTTATCTTTTTTTTGTTTGTAGAGAAACTTTTCAAAAATTACCACACAATAATATTTCGCGTTCCGTCTGAAGCAGGCAATCGTCATTTAAATCGTTACGGAACACCTTCGGAGCAGCCGCTGCGATCGTTGTCGGTAAAACCATGGTGTAAAGAATGTAAGGTGAAGTATTGCGCATATGGCGGCGACTTCAAATTTCAACCAATCAAATTTGCCCGATGAGGAAACGCGCCAATTATAAATGTAGTAAGTTATTTAAAAATAATATATTTAAACAATACAATTATTATATGTTTATTAATATGAAAAATGTAAATGCAATGTAATATTTACTAACCACATGTAATCTTTGAATTTTCATCCCTCTGGCAAGCCTGTAACCATTTTCTTCGCAGCTCAGGATCTTGAGGAAACGAGTAATATCTCACTTTTTTGCTGAATATATAATTTGTCCGATTTTTACAATTTCTCACGAAACAACTTGGCATGGTTGAAAATTTGTCGTCGACTTGTCAAAACTTCACAAGTAATATTCACACATGCACACAAGTGATAGCCACCGATGTCAATCATTGTCAAAACTATGTAACTGATTCTATCGTGCGCCGGCCATATTGAATTTTGTATCACCGGGCATATTTGATTGGTTCGCTGTTCCCCACTACTTTTGAACCACTGCGCATTCATCGGAATGCTTCACCTTATATTCTTTACACCATGGACTAGTCTTTATTTGTTTCGGAATATATGAGTGAGAGAGAGACAGAACCCAATCGCCGTTGTGTGTGTACATGTACATTTGTGAGACCGACTACATACAATGGAAAGGTATATAATACGAGTGAGAAATAATACAGATACAGCCTTTGAAAATGTTGAACCACGAAACGATCTATCAATCTCTATCAATACAAAAGAATCTCAAGGTGAAGCGGCGTGTGTCTCTGACTCCGATTGTCCGGAGAAACAAAACATGAAAGAAAATGACACGAGTGCAATAAATTGTTTGCAAGAGACCAAATTTAGTAAAACTTCAGATCAAAAACAATAATCAAGGTATGAATATAATAACCAATTTAAATACATAATAACTGTTAATAATTATATATATATATTTCAATTCCCTATATTTTCTA